AATTTAAAATTAAATTATTATTTAATTTCATCAAATTAACAACAAATTGACATTTAATTTTATTAAATAGAATATTAAATTTCACTAATTTAACATTTACCTTATCAACTTAATGTTAGTTATTTAATTTAACACCAAATGAACATTCAATTTCATTAAAGCATCATTTAAATTTATTCAATTAATATTAAATTTTATCAAATCAATGCTACATATAAATATCAAATTAACTTCATATTAATATTTAAAATTTATATATAAAGGATAATGTGTGAAGAGTGGTCAGGTAACGTTGTGGAGCACAAATGATAGCTGATGAGTTAGAAATTGATGAGATTTTGATATAAACTTTATTGATTTTAATTTTTATTATAGAAAAATTATTTTTAAACATAAAAATTATAAAAACTCGATTATGTAACTAAATGAGTGATAATATGATTTCTAATATTATAACAAAGTTATCATGCAACGATTTAAAATGATAAAAATTCATTGGGATAATATAATTATAGAAATCACGCTTATGTCAAACTTCTCATCCCTTATGTCTTTGTCTCTATCAACAGTTGAAGAAGACATCAATCATACAATAATACATTACAACATATTAAGATAATAAAATGGAAGAAAAAAAATTAAAAAAATGTGCATGAACAAAATTTTAAAAAAAATTGCATGAAAAAGTTTAAAAATACCAGCATGAGAAAAAATAAAAAAAAACTACATGAAAAAAATTTAAAAAGTTTGGATGAAAAAAATTAAAACTATTTGCATGAATTTTTTTTAAAAAAAAACTACATGAAAAAAATAAAAAAAAATTGCATGAAAAAATAAAAAATGTCAGCATGAAAAAATAAAAAAAAAATGCATGAAAAACATTTGCAAATCTGCAAGAAAAAAAATAAAATAAACTTTTTTTTACCAACTTAGATAGTGATTGATCACTATGGAGAAGGAATTGAAGAAGAATGAATGACTTTAGTCCCCTGTGTTTTCCAGCAACACCAGATCATTTTTGACCTTAAGCAACAACGAAAGGTATGGTATATGTAGTGGGAAAATGGTTCATAACATTTTAGTATATTTACGTAAGAAATGATAATTTTGATATTTTTAGAAAATTTATAGTTAAACTATTACTTTTTGTACTGACAGAGTTAAAAATTACCGTTAAGGGTGTGTCTTTTATTTGAAAATATAAACCAAAAGGAGATGCAATGAAGTTTCAGAATCAGAAGGGGGTATCATTGAATTTAGACCTAACTAGAAGGTGTGTTGATGAAATTTTCCCTAAAATTAATTAAATCAAATTATATTATATTAAAAAATTATTGTTTATATTGTCTTAATTCTTTTTTTTTCTTTTTCTTTTTATAAATGTGGTACGTCATTCATATCAAAATCCTACCCTTATTAGAATGCACTCCCTCATGGCCATATTTAGGATTGAATAAGCTCAACCGAACTTTAGTATTTACATATAAACGAGTCTAATTTGTCAAACTCTTTTTTAAACGAGCTTAAAAATTATTCAAATTGAGCTTAAAATTTTTTTAAACAAGCTCAGTTCAAACATGTTCGATTATTAGTTCTAGTCATATTTTCTACTGAGAGAATATAAAAAACCCAATCACCTTGAATTACTCAGCTAAAATAAAAAATATCATTTATAATTGAACTTTATACACTCGAGCTCAAATTGTTTAATAAAATGTGTCGAACCAGTATCCAAAATCAAATAAATAATTGATGCTTCAAGCTCGAATTATATGCTTAATGTTCATCACGATCTCGAGCATTCTTTGTGAACAAATGAGCGAGCCCAAAGAGCTTAACGCTTGGCTCAATTCGCTTCATAGCCATCCTGTTTCTCTTTTGTTCGTAATATATGAAGGGTGAAGCCAGTTGTCTTTCTTTTTCTTTTTTCTTTTTTTTTTTTGTGAAGATAAGCCTAATGGTTTGTAATTCTGGAGCTTCATGCAACTTAAAAATGGCAATGGTGTTTCTGCATTTTTTTTTTCACTGTCACATCTGAATCTGGAGGCATGAAAAGAAAGCAAAGGAGTAAGGAAATAAAAACAAAACAAACCAATAAATAAGACGTGGTGTATCGGTTATACCTAATATTTTTTTTCCTCTTTTCTCCCTCTTTTTTGTGATTTTTTTTTGGGAGGCATGCTCAAGTACTAGTGAACCTCCTACACTAAGTTTTACAAGTACATGACTAAGGGTCAGGTGTAAATCTCACATACAAACAGACAAGGTTTAATTGGTGATGGCCTTATGAAGGAAACACACCACAAGATTTAACATGGAACCCTACTCAGTTGGCTTCCTCTTCCTCCCAAGAACATAAGCTTTCTGAAATCTGGGGCCACCCATCTTCCACTTCTTAAATGCTGCTGTTGAGGATTGCGCGGTCTCGTACACTGCAAAACAAGAATCACAATCAAGGTTTTAAACTCAATATAAATGTCAAAGAAAAACGAAAGATGGTTATAGTGATTCGAGAAATCTCACATTTGGTTTCTTCTCTTGTTAGAAGTGTTAAATTTTTGGCAGTTACGGATAATGCTGAAGTGTGTGCCTTGACCAGGACATCCTTATACCTGGTCTGAAAGGCGACAAAGAGGACAGGTCCTATGTTTTTATCGCTAAGAATTCTATCATCAATCCTGTCCAGTACAAGAAAACAATCTCAAATGAGACACTGTTGTTCACCTCGTAACACATGGCCAGAAAACATAAGTTATATAGTTAACTTTTAACAAGCAACCTTCCCTATCAATGAACAAACTGCATTTAAAAAGAAAAGCAAAAAAGCTGATAACAAGAACAACAACAAAGATTAAAATGTTCTAAATAGCAGCATTCAAATGTTTGCACCAAATATATTTTAGTTCATATAGATGTATTTAACAAGCACTTGAACATGTAAAGATTAAAGAGTATCTGCCAAAAAACTCTTGACCATATTTAACCATCTGATTAGTATAATGAAGTCCAACTCTGACATCATTCATGCAACAACTTACCATGAAGGACCAGATTGCCATTAAATGTGGAAATAGAAAAAGCCGATACTTATTTAACTATCAAAGAAGTTCCTATCCCAACTAAAATTTTCAACAATTGCCTAAGAAGTACTGATCCAAGCAAGGAATGAAAACGAAAGGATTGAGACGATCATTAATCAAAACTAAAGAGAAATCTACAGGAATAGATATGTTGGGGTTTCCTCAAATGCTCCCATTATTTCCCTAGTTGGACGTCTTTTGCCAAATTCAATTATACTGGAATCAACAATTAATGAAGCCATTACTATCAGTGCTTGGGGTTTTGGTATTGGTGGGAGGGTGGAGAAAAGAATCAGAATGAGCATCGTGCTCTAACCTAACAAGAGAATCCCACAATCATCCCAAAAGTTTGATTAACTACTGCTTCTACACTGCAAGTTGTAACTAGACAAAGATGATCTGTAGCTAAAGCAGATTTATTTGGTCAAGTTACTTAGCCTCGGCTCATGATTTGTTTGGTCAGAATTTTTGCTCAATATCACTCAAGAGATATAGGAAAACCGATACCGATCATATTTGTATAACTCTAGGTCATTGAGTCTGGTTCAAATTCAGCAGGATAAACTAGTGAGCACTCTACTACTGCAAAAAATTCCCAACTTGAGTTCTGCTTTGTTAGACACTCATTCCAGATTAACTCCTGAAATAAACAATCCAAAATCAAGTTTCATTTGGAGCTGGTTAAAACTTCTGAGCTGAGCTTGAGCTAGCAGCTAGTTTGCTCGACTAGCCTTTTTCACACTCTGAAACCGAATATATTAGTCATCCAGAGTAGGAGCATGTCTACCTGACGCATAGGCCTGCATTGCTGTGCATCCTTGGAGCATAACTATCTAAGTAAGAATACACCTGAGCAAATGAATGAAAATAACAATAATAGCCTCATTCCACAGGAGCTTGCTTTAGAATTATTTCAACATCATCTTAGCATCTCTCAGAATCTGTCAAAGCCTTTTGCAATAGCATGCATAACAAATTTCCAGTGGGCCTCTGCATTTCCAATAGCCGTCCAATTTTCAAATCCGGCACACTGTAATCCCCCATATACCCATTGGTACAAAAGCATAGCTTAACTAACCTTTTCCAAAAATGATAAAGAAAGTGCATGATCCAGCGTGATGCCAAATAATTCAGTCTTTAGAGTTTGCAGGACCTAAAGTTTGACTAGAAGTCAACATATTGTTTTTCCCCTTGTACCTTTAGTATTAGAGAATTGATTCTATAGCCTTTTCACAACCCGACATGCAGACATGACAGAGAAAATGTCTGACCCATCTTAATGCCAAATTACAGTTCAGTCTTTAGCACTTGTATGACTCAATTTGGCCTCTAACAAATACTGCTTCACACTTGAAAAAGTTTCCCTATATCCGCAGGCTAACGGGAGTAAAGCAACATTCTTGGTGGCATCCTAGCATAGCATTGTGTATGTTCCATACGTATTCTTGGCAGTCCTCTCTAAAAGTATCTTTACAAATCATAGAGAGTTCATAACAAGGCAAGTCTAGAAAAATCATTCAAACCAAGACAGGCTTATTTGATGGTTTAAAAACTTAAGATTTGCACATAAAAACGACTAAAGGGAAGAAACTTACAAATGTGCTAATTTGCATCCTAATTCGTAGAAATATGGACATCGCTTTCTTAGATCAACATGTGCAGCATCAGCTTCAATTTCCTCTCTTGTTCTGACATTTAAGAAAACCATATAGACAGATGAAAAGCAACACATAAGAAAATCATCTGAAATTATTAAGAGTTTACTTTTTATTGAAACAAGGGGAACGTTAATGGAAACTGCTTGTCTCAAGTGCAACTCAGAAGCAAGCCAGAAAGGCAGCTCTGCCTTTGAACCCGCTTCTACCTGAGATTGAAAAACACAATGATTAGATTTCATCAGCAACCTACATTTCAACTAAAGCTACCTCAGATTTACCCTGTTTGTATCATCACTTGAATCGAAGATCCCAACCCCATTTGCAGCCTCTTTAAATACAGCTGGAACAAGCTGTGAGCAAGAGTAAGTAGAATTTTAGACCCATAAATCCAGAAGGGCCTACTTGTTATCAATGGGAATCAGAGCATTTCCAGCAAGACATATATCTGTTCTTTGGTATTGATTAAGAGCAGAACAACGAAAATGGATGGCAAGTGCATCATGAAAATAACATATAACATATCTTTTAGTTTTATGAAGTGGAAGTAAGAACATCAAAGATAGGAAGAAATGGGCATTTACCTCATCCTCCGCCAGAATATCATCAATGTCAAAATACTGTGCCATTCTTTAGACAAAAAAGTCTTATAGTCTATATCGTCTCCACAATAATGGTCTAGATATATCAACTTCTGATATCCTGTTCACGAAATAGAAAAAGAAAATTCCACTGATAAAATCTATCAATTAAAAATCCAGCCCACAAAAATACAACCTCTATGATAATTGACTTGAATTATCAATATTCCGGGGCTCGCTTCAAACCAGAATGGAGACATATACACATATTGGCCAATGTTACTTTTGATCTCAGACATGTCAGGTATCTTCGATACATTCAAACGTTAATACCTACTAACAAATTCTGACCATCTATAATGAATATTTCTGCAAGGAAGCACTCATTTGAAACTAAACTCCCAATTCAAACCTACCCAAAGTAACAATTGAATTTTATTTCACAAAACAATGTATGATAATTCCAAGCAGTCCAATCAAAAAGAAAAGATAAATTCAAGGCACTAGTAAGAGGAAGACAAGAATACATACACCCACCCATACATGCATATATATCTATACGTAGAGAGAGAGAGAGAGAGATGCACCTTTACGGGCGTGGGTGTGGGGGTGAGTTGCTGATTGGCAGAGGGAAGAGAGGGAGAGAGAAAGAGAGAGAGAGAGTTGAATGGGCGGAAAGATTGTAGCAGAATGACTACCAAGAGGAGGCAAGAGGCGCCAAATGTGGAAGCTAATCAAACCGTAACCCTATCCCTATTTTGGAGGGAATTCTCAATTTTGGGTTTGCCCAGGCGATCGGATCAATCAGTTTTCTTATTATGGTTTTCTTTTGCCAATATTACTTCTTCAAAGTTTTTGATGTGCTGCGTATTAGATCCTCTCTAATCTTTGACTTCAACAAAACATGTAAAAATAATGTGAAGAAACAATATCAATCAATTTCTAAGATTTTTGAATAAAAAATGTATAATTTGAATGTAAATCATGTATTTGAAATAAATTTAAAGTAGTTATAAATCTAGTAACAACCTATGCTTGAAGGTACAGTAAAATATAAAAATCAAGCACCCTAAAGAATCGAGTCTATTATATCAAATTGCAATAACCAATTTTATTTTTTTTTGAAAAAATAGACAACCAATTTTTTTTTTTAAATAGGCATTATACAACACAAAATCAAATAGTAATCATATAATACAAATATTTTCAATAGTATATAAATATTTCAAATAGTAATTTATTTTTCTTTCTTTTTTTAGTTACACCATTTTAAATCAATCAAAACCCACAATTAATATACATAAAAAAAAATTGATAGCGTTTACATTAAAAGCATAACAAACCAAAAAATCAACTTGTGTATATAATTTATCTCATGGCTAATAATTAGTACAAATTTACTTATTATTAAGAAACACGTGAATTTAAAGCAAACACAATACAATTCATTTATAGGATTCAATAGCATGCTCCAATTTTATCTTAACAAAACTATTTATCAACTATCACAACAACATAATAATATCAATAATAGAATAAAGTTCAACTTTGTCCATATAAATCTGTATATATTAAATCCAACCATCAGTTTCTACATAAAAATTGTTGCAATAAAAGTCCAAAATCCAAGACAAATTGAAACAAATCAAAATGATTATTTCAATTGAACTTGTGTCTGTGCCTAAAAAACCCTACGTAACCAAAAATAAAACAACAATTAGAAAAAAATAAAAATTCTTTGGGCAAAAAATTAAACCCTCAATATATATTCATACCTATAAATACAATTTATTTTCATACATGAAAAATCTACCAAGATAACTATTTCTTTGGCTTGGTACTAAGCTAATACGTACTATTAACTAAAACAAATACCAAGATATCTAGTTTAATTGTTTAGAGATCCATTACGGTTATTTAATCTTTTTATTTTCCCCACCAAATTAATTGCCAATCAAAAGGAAAGTTAAGGATCATTTCAAGTATAGGAAAACCAAGTCTGAACAATATGATGCCAAAAAATTCTACTTTGCACCAAAGAAGCTCCATAAATCAATCATACAAAAATCCTATGCATCCTTATCTTTGTACTAAACTCCAAAAACTTCATACCTCACACAACAATCTAGAAAAAAATAGTTCATTAACATAAAAGAGATAAGGAATTAAAACAATTATATGTCATACATCGTATCAAATATGAAAAATAATTATTTGGAAGCAAAAATTTGATCCTTACACTAGCACTACAGAAGCAATACTACAAACAATTTGTTTGTGCTTGTGTGTGTTTGTGTGCATTTCTGTTTTTGTGTGTGTGTTGGTGTGTCTATATGTGCAATGTATGGGTAAAAAAAATGAAAGTAAGCTTCTCATTACCCAACCAAAAAGACACTTCCATTAATAAACAAATTACTATAAGTTGTTTTATAGATCTACCGTATGATTGGATAAATTCAGTGCAAAACATGGGCCATCACAATGAAGAGAAAGAAGTAACTTCAATAAGCATCAAACATCAAATTGCAAGCAAAAAAACATTTGGATGTCGGGGTTTACATTTCAAACTTCAAGCACTTTAGTACGGTAGATTCCATTTGCAAAACCTACCATAATTTGGCAACAAAAACACTAAGAAACATCTAGAGTAGAAAAATTTAAGTGACAATCTTGCAAAGTTTGGGAGGGATTTCGATGTGGCCACCTTTAGAATTGCACATCAAGGAGAAAAATTAAACTAAGAAATAATTTATAAAAATGGATGTCCACCTAAAAGGAAAGCACAAATTAATACATCCAGTAAGTTCAATCCCCATTTCTAAGCATAACTAAAATAGATTTCAAGTTTGAAGGAAGAACACCTACAAAGTGTTTGCCCTTCCATCTTCCTCCTCCCCCATCACCATGTTTCTCTCTCACACACACAAAAACAGAAACAGAAACACAGACATTCCCATAACCATGGTCACCCAATTTTCCTTCTTCACTCTCTCTATGCGCGCGTGCGCACACACACAAACATGCCCACAACCACTGGCCACCCAAATCAATAAATTCCAATTCATAACAAACAAATTTTGAAAAATCAAAATCCCCATTTCTTTCTTAGATGGGCTACTCTCAATATCAAATTAAGATATTTCATATTTAAAACTATAACATTCAATCCAATACCACCAAAAAAAGAAGGAGTAGACTCGATATGGGTCATTTGACTTCTATATGTACTACTATGAAAATATATTTACATTTAAGTCGGGGATCCACATCCCCTAAAGTTTATGTAAGAGGTAAAAATCGACAAACCTCTCGCACGTATGAACGATTGGTATCTTTGGTAAGTATATATTTCTGAACTAGGTCGCCCAGTCTTCCCTTTTCTGCAAAACGAATAAACTGTCCAAAATCGAAGTGTTTCGATCGAAGACACTCTGATACTTATGTCAGTAATGGATCTGAATAAATTGCAAGAAGATAATAAGAGTTCAGCGTACCTTTCACCTTGGCTCCTTATGCCTTTTATAGACCTTTGTTTAGCTAAGATTTTCATGATTCTCGATTCAAGGTGGTACACTTTCCTCCAATTAGGCGGCTCTGTTTGGGAAGTTGCTGAGATCTCTCCAACAATTCCTCCCGCCGAGCCTATAATTATGCTAATTCGTTAACCAGGATGCCCGAATTATAGGCATCTCTTTAGCTCTCCATTTACTGTTTGAAACAGCTTGGTTATGATGAGGACCGACCTCTTCACCTTATTCTCGAGCTCCTTGAACAACTCAATTTTCAGATTGATGACTTAATGTAATGATGTCTCTATCACGTTACTGGTCTTGTCTTGTTCATGTGAGATCATTTAATGCAAGTGCACGTGTCATATAGGGAGTCAACATCTTCATTTTGCACCAGAAAACGTTTGACAAATGTTTTTCGTCTGTTAGTCGTTTTATGTCCTCAAACCCTTTATTGCTTACACTTTTGGGACATCCCCTTGTTTTGGCGGCGTGTCTAGTCATTTTAAATATTGTCTTTTAGAATTCCCTCCTTTTATAGCGATTTCTCTTCACTCCTTCCTTTACTTTTGCCTTCCCAGCTTCAGATTTTCTTACCTTTTTACCTCCCTATGCACTTTCGCTATCCTTCTGTAATGGCCTCTCTTACTCTTTGAAATTTCTGCTTTCAAAGCTAAATACAACATTCCAGAGGATGTCAAAATACGAGTTGCTGGCAGTGAGGAACCTCTGATAGGCACCATAGAGAGTATTCTCATCCATACTCGAGTGATTACTGAGGGTGGAGTTCGTTTTCCTCTGGACCCTCTCCTTATCTGGGTGATTTCTACAATGAAACTTTGCCCCATCCAATGCTGCCCCAACTTCTTCAGGATAGTGATGGGAATAGCTGCTCTGAACATGCTTCTAGGCTTGAGCCTTGGTTTATGGGAGATTTTATATTGCTATATCATCAAATCAACTGGAGATAATTACTATCTGGTAGTGAGGAAGAAAGACCGTTATTTGGTAACTCATCTTCCAGACTAGAACAAGGGCCACAAAAACGATGTGGTTTTCTTTTCTAGGAACTGGGAGTACTTTGCCGGGGCCACTCCTTCTTATCGTTGCCCCTATGAAGAAGGTGCACCAGGTGATTGTCTTTATTACTCTTTAATTCTAGTTTGTCTCTGACATAATCTATCTTTTGTTTGAAGGTGAGACTGTGAAGGGCATAATTCCTAAGTCGGCAGTAAAAATGGATGAACTTAAAAGAGTTTGGGACTTCAATGATTCTCTTTTCTGCCGAGCTGCTCACACCCTGCTTGGGTACACACCTACTTACATGTTTTTCATTGTCGTGCCGAACCATCCCAATGCTACTCTTGTTGCGGATCGGGAGGCCATTCAAACTGCTCAGGAGCAGACACCTCGATCCCATAAGAGGTCTTTACCTGCTAGTTCTGGACAAAAACAGAACAGTGAAGAATTTTCTAGACTTTTTATCAATTGTTAAACTAACCCCAACCACCGAACCAACACTACCAATTGATCCACTAG